TTAGCCAGAAGAAGAAGAAGAGGAGAAGACTTATGCCCTTTCTACACCGCCATATACTCCAGATTTAAAGATGAGCTCAAAGCCAACCTTACAAACTCTGGTATAGATGCTGAGAACTGGGAAGCCCTGGCCCTTGGGCACTCTAGCTGGAGGTCAGCTGTGACCAGCAGTGCTGTAGAATTTGAAGAGGCACTAATGGAGGACGAAAGACAGAAACGTGCCAAGAGGAAAGCGAGTCAAGTCACCCCGACCGGGACTGCCTTCCACCTAGAAACCAATGCCCTCACTGTAGGAGAAGATGCAGGTCAAGGATAGGGCTACACAGTCACCTACGGACCCACCTCCAGTACACCGATCTTGGAAGACAACCCTACTCAGACAACGAGGGATCGCCTAAGTAAGTAAGTAATACTCCAGATTATCAAAGCAGATAACCCACATTATCTGCTTTGAACTGGATTATCTGAGTCTACAGTGCCATCTAATCCAGTTCAGAGCAGATAATCCAGATTTTATATGTCAGTGTAGAATATCTGAAGCGATAGTATGTAGAGAGTGGAGCCAGCTGGTTTCCTGCTGCTACAGAGTCCAGAATGAGAATCAATAGATTGAAATTACAGATTGTGAGATTCCAAAATCAAGGTTGGCTTTTTAATGGTCTCACCTGCCCTGAATATTTTTCAAGCCATGACTGAAAAATCTGTAATGCAGAAAATGTTAGACTTGGTTATCGTTGTTCCAAAGGCATTGGATTGTCCTGATGCCTTGTTGAAGCCAGAAAAGAAGAACTAGCTCCCCTCCGAATTTGTGTCGATATTTGCTTAGATGCCTGTGGAAAATATTGCATTACTTTGGAAGTGATGGATAGCAATAAAAGAGGTGCAAATGAAAGACTATGGAAACAGACACATTTGTGTATGCAAAATTGCACTGTAAGTGACTTCATATTAGCACACTTTTGGAAAAGATGTATGGTTTTCCCACCCAGAATGAGCTAGCATGACAAATATTCTGGGAGGAAAAAGTGCTCTGAAGATGATGGAGTGTGTGAGCGCACATGCCTTGCTGAAACACCTGTAGAGTGAATTATGGTTCATTCTGCTATCATCACTATGCACAGACACATCTCTCCTTCAACACGGAGAAGCAATTGGGTAGTTCAAGAGGAATAGCAATGTGCTGACATCTCCGAGCTCTGCCTATGACCATTGCCTTATTCCATCTAGTACATCTTCACCCACTGCCATTTTTAACCCCATATAACCAATTACATATTTTATGGCTGGAGGTGGGCAAAGTGCCATCCATAGACTGTGTGATCCTCCAGGGATCTACAAAATGCCCTCTAAGAAATAAGTGGGCCATTTCTGCCACATTTTAGAGTTCCTCGGGCCAGATTAGGTCCAAATGATACGAGGGTTGAATGAAAAGTAATGCCTTCACCTTCGTTACTTGGGTTTGGATGGGAATATTTTAATAAATCAAATGCAGAAATAATTCTTAGAATGTGCTCTTTAACTACCACTATTCACTTTTCCACATAATCATTGGACAATTGGTTACATTGCTGCCAATGATGAACAAGTTTTCTGAAGCCATCATAGTTCCTGGAAAATTTCAAATCTGTGTGCTTTCATTTCCGCCGTCAGCATCCTGGGTACCCATTGTGCACAGATCTTCTGATAGCCAAGCAAAGCAATAACGTGACCCACACGTTCTTGTGAAATGCCGATTATGCTTGAAATTTCTCTCTGAGTGATATGATGATTGTCCTGAATCAATCTGTCAACCTTTTTGCTTGTGAAACTCGGTGGTTGCTGTCACAGGACGTCCAACTCTTTGTTTGTCACACAAGTCAAATGTTCCCTCCTCAACATCTTTAAACTTACTCACCCAACAATGCACAGTACTCACATCAACACAATCACCATAAACAGCTTGCATTCTTTGATGAATCTCCTTTGGGGTAACACCTTCTCCTGTCAAGAATTCAATGACTGCATGTTGCTTAAGTCGCATTGACCGACTATCTACGCAGGGTTCCATACTTCGCACTTTAACAACACAACCGTTCAATGCTAAGGCTGCCTGCCAAAATGGAACTGTAGAGGAGAGTCTACTGAACAAGCCAGTACCTGCCGCATACCAGTACTGCCATATGTTGAGGTGGAGGCATTACTTTTCATTCAACCCTTGTACATTTCTAAAATCCAGAAGTTAGCCAAAGACTTCTGATCACTTCCTAAAATGGCCTTGTTGCCTTCAAAGTTATTTCTGACATATAATGATCCTAAGACAAACCCATTACAGGAATTTTTTGATAGGATTTGTTTGCAAAGGTTTTGGCTTTGCCTTTCTCTGAGGCAGAGAGTGTGACTTGTCCAAGTGGGCTTCCATGGCTGAATGGGGATTCAAACCATCATCTTGCTGTGCCCTAGTTCAAAGCTTCTTAAATGTTTCCACTCACAACTACTTTCAGCCCAAGAAAATTTTACATGACCCTGACTAAAGAGGTATATAAAATTGGTATGAAAAAAATAATAATCAAAGATTGACTGATAATAGTTAATGAAGCCTAACTTTATTTGGCAAACTCAAACTTATGGGGCATAAGCCACAATTGGGCCAGGGAATTGGGAGAGCTGGAGAGATAGATACGGCCCTTCTAAGTTATGGGTTGGACTTCCATAAGTGTTGGGCTTCCATAAATTGCCCATCCTAATCTAATGTAAAACGGTGGAGCATCTTTCCATCTAAGGATCAAATTTATCTTCAAGAACTTCTCTAGGATTGTATTTCTGTAGCAGACAAAGCCAAAACCAAAATGTTGGGGCCTAAAATGCCATAGAATTCAGGAATCATACCACATGTTAATGCCTTCATATTTTTCAGATTTTTTTTTTTACTTCCAGACATGGTTGGCCTTCAATATCTGAGGTTTCACTTCTGTGGATTTGATTATTTGCAAATTTGATCGATATATTCTCACTAGCAATCCTTTGGTCTTCCAGTGTGACTATATGGTTAAATTCTGCCATATAATTGCGCTGGAGAATTTAGAGATTCTTAGAGAATGCTTCTATGTCAACGTCCAGCAGAAATTGGCCATATAATTGCACTGGAGCTCCTAAATAGGTGTAAAAAAATTACTGTTTTTTATTCTGTTTCCTCCCACTTTTTCTATGTTCCTAAACTCGTAGAATTTGGAAGGCTGATTGTACAAGTACTATGACATGTACTATATTTGTGATCCTGAAGGGAAGAAAGGGCTGAAAAGGCAAGGATTCAAAAAAACTTTGATTCTTGACATTTCACAAATCCCCAGTCTTTCTCCAGCTTCACATTCATACACAACACAAGTAGTGAACAAAGTAAAGACAAGACTAGAGAGAGACGGGAATATGTGAAATGGCAAGAATCCAGAATACTGCTCAGCACAAATCCACACCTCCCACCTTTTCACAAATCTTTGCCTATTGGCACAGCCAGCTATTACATTGCTACTATTTGATATTTGCTTATTGCCAGTTTGTTGTTGGGAATCATCAACTGGAGAGCCAAAAAAATCTGATCCAAAAATAATAGTCATCACTGCTGTAACTGAGCTCATAATAAGGCTACTTATATGAGGATAGCTCCAAGTAGCCCTATCATTCTTGCAAATGATATAATTCCAAAATGCAAGGACATAAAAAGTTCATTGATAGTTCTTAATGAATTTTAAAAAAAATCATTAGAGCATGACCTCTGGTGGAAATGTGCTGAATTGCAGCAGATTTCAATTGTTAATGTCTTATCTCTCAGCCATGAATACAATATGACCCCCATATCTGTACCTTGGATAGTTCCCTTGGACTTCTGTTCAAGGACCAATATTTCAAGCACCTTATATATCCCTTTAACACAGTAGTTCCCAACCTTTTTTATTCTGTTCGATTTTATAGTGTGTTAACTTGCTTTATTTATTTTATTTTGCTGCTATACGTATTTTATTTTGTTGTAATTTTGTTGTCTGCATCTTGTATTTTATTTTGCTGTATTGCACTTTAGGGCTTGGCCTTTTGTTAGGTGCCCCGAGTCCCCTTTAAGGAGATGGTGGTGGGGTATGAATATAGATTATGATTATGATTGACCAGGGACCACTCTCCAACATTAGTACCAAAAGGGTTTGTAAAAGGAAAGGTTTTCCCCTGACATTAAGTTCAGTTGTGTCTGACTCTGGAGGTTGGTGCTCATCTCCTTTTCTAAGCCAAAGAGCCGGCATTGTCCATAGACACCTCCAAGGTCATGTAGCCGGCATGACTGTATGAAGCGCCGTTACCTTGGAGCGGTACCTATTGATCTACTCACATTTATATGTTTTCGAATTGCTAGGTTGGCAGAAGCTGGGGATAACAGTGGGAGCTCATGCTGCTCCCTGGATTCAAAACTGCAACCTTTCAATCAGGAAGTTCAGCAGCTCAGTGCTTTAACCCACTGTGCCACCAGGGGGTTCCTAACCAAAAGGGTTACGAATCAGTTTTTGGTCAACTTTAGATTTAGTTTGGTTATTTGGGGTGCTTATTCAGAAAATTGCATTGGATAGACCACATCAGCTCTAGTTTTTGATACAGAACATATGCCATCCAGTTGTCGCCATCTTCTCACCCACAGAAAACCATATTTAATAAGCCTCGGCACTATAATAGGGTTTCATGAGACCTATAGCTCCTGTTGCACTGGTGTAGTAATGGTGAGGCCACAGACCATATTTTAGTTCTTGAGGACCACTGGTGTCCACAGACCACAGGTTGGGAACCACTGCTTGAACATCACTAATCAAAGGATAGATTTTTCTCAGTGTGGATTTTTAAATTGTAGTGGAATACTTCAGCAACATGTTTGCCAACTGACCTGCAAAGTGGCACAGCAAAGAGTTCCCAAGCATAATCATAAGAAGGAAGGATAAATTAAAGCCCAAAATTGTTGCAATATGAATCATGATTTATTCTGATATTTATTTGATGAAGAGAAAATATAGGCTACATAAAAGAATAATATGTTCTTGGAAGAAGGACATCAGTGGAACAAGAAGAGGATTGCCAGCAAAATCAAAAAGTTGTCAAGATTTGTAGTGGTTACTTTTTCGTGGTCTCCTTGATCTTGTCCATTGAAGATAAGTTCCTGAAAAAAGAAATTCAGGAATCTAGTTGATGCAGTTAGCAGGGGACACCTCAGGATTTCTCATTTCCAGTTTACATTAAGATGCTACTTCTTCCTCACCACAGCACCACTATTGGAAGCTATTGCCTCACTCTGCCTAGTGTTAGGACCAGCTTTACTGCTGAGCCTTTTTTTGTCCAGGATAATATAGGACGCTATTTCTTCAATGAATTCTATGCATAGGAACATACAAGGAACCCCTTGTCAGATGAAACCAAAAATATATCTAGTCCAGAGTTCTTCTCCAGTCAGGAGTGTAAACCAGGTCATAAACAGCATATAAATAATAATAATAATAATAATAATAATAATAATAATAATATACCACCTGCCAGTAGTAAAGAACTGGTAGGATCATAAACCTGCAAAGGCAGAGGAAAATGAACATGCAAAAATACTGTGGGACTTTCAAATCCAAACTGACAAAGTTTTGGAACACAATACACCAGATATCACGATGGTGGAAAAGAAAAATGTTTGGATTATTGATGTCGCCATACCAGGTGAGTTGACAAAAAACAACAGGAAAAACTCAGCCGTCATCAAGACCTCAACATTAAACTGCAAAGACTCTGGCATAAACCAATACAAACGGTCCCAGTGGTAATTGGCACACTGGGTGCCGTGCCAAAAGACCTCAGCATTTGGAAACAATAAACATTGACAAAATCATAATATGTCAATTGCAAAAGGCCACCTTACTTGGATCTGTGTGCATCATTCGAAAATACATCACACAGTCCTAAATGCTTGGGAAGTGTTTGACTTGTGATTTTGTGATACGAAATCCAGCATATAGATCTCATTTGCTGTGACATACTGTGTTTTTGTGTCAGAATAATAATAATAATAATAATAATAATAATAATAATAATAATAATACATGTATTACCCGCCTCTCCCTGCAGCTTCAGTTGGGACACAACATCATTAAAACAAGAGATAAAACATTATTTAAAAAATACAACAAGATGCACAGTTTAAATACATTTAAAATCTGATAAAATGTAGATTAAAATTCACAACTTAAAATAGACTGGGTAGGCCTGTTGGAAGAGATGGGTCTTCAATTGTGACTTAAATTCCAATGGCTGATCTAGTTGTTGAATCTCTTCTAGCAGGTCATTCCACAGCCTCGGGCTCAGGATGAAAAGGTCTTCTGAGTGATGGTTGCCAGTTGGGTTCTGGCTGATTGCAGTAGCTGCCCCTAGAATTTTTGGGCTTGCACAAATCTTGGCCCGGCCTTTTAAATTGTTTTAAATTGCCTTGAACAGGCAGGATTACTTTTAATATATGTGTGTTATGGTGACAATTTTAATGCATATTTTGTTTTGTTAATCTTATGGTTATGTTGTTTTTACTTTGTATGTTCTGTGATTTTTACCTAGGAACCGCTCTGAGTCCCCTTGGGGAGATAGAGCGGTATATAAATAAAGATTTATTATTTATTATTATCAACTCCATATCCTGCTCTGAAGTTGGTTTGAAATGGGTCAAGGAAGTGTGTGTCATCCAAGACAGCCTGGAGTTGGAGGGTAATTACTTTCTCAATCACCTTGCCCAAAAAAGGAAGGTTAGACACTGGCCCGGGAGGGCTTGGGATAGGACACATAAGAATTAAATGGCTGCAAAAAAAATTCATGTCAGAAAAAACTGCAAGTCGCTTCTGGTGAGAGAATTGGCCATCTGTAAGGATGTTGCCAAGGGGATGTTTGATGTTTTACCATCCTTGTGGGAGGCTTCTCTCATGTTCCCCCATGTGGAGCTGGAGCTGACAGAGGGAGCTCACACCACTCTTCCTGGATTTGAACTGCTGACCTATCGGTCAGCAGTCCTGCCGGCACAAGGGCATAACCCATTGCACCACCAGGGGCTCCAATGGCTGCAGTGACACATAAGAAAGAGCTAGGAATCCATAGTTTGCCCTTTGGCAGTTTGAGGTATATGTAGAATTTAGATGCAGAAAACATCCTGGAACAACTATTTGATACACTTGGAGTGATCCATTTCATACACAGAGAGAGATTGGATGCTTTCAGTGTTCAACACTGAAACATGAACACTTATCCAGCACAAACTATCCCAAGAATCAAACTTACTTTTCATGTGTAGCAGTCCAAATTAGCATTTGAATCTCCGCACCCTTTCTGATCGCTGGATCGTTTACCGTATCTGGGAAAAGATGAACACATAGACTTTTCAAATAGGATCCTGACTTTGACCAGCATATAACATATATATATATATATATATATATATATATATATATATATATCAACCTATAATGGTGCCTTTAAAAAATCTTCTTAGTATACATTTTGAGCAGATAGAGTCCACTCTTAAAAAGCCTTTCACCCATTTTTAAGTGGAACTTTTTAATAGGGTTTCTTCCCCAGTGGCTGTTATAGACTCTGAAAAAATGTCTAAGTAGAAGTGTGCCTATTTCTGAAAATATCAGTCGTCCCCTGCCCCCCCCCCCCTTGGAAGGTACCTCTAATCTGAGCTGGGGTTGAGATTTGTAGGACATTTGCCCCAGAGTTTGGGAAAGTGACCATTGTCCATATTGGCAGTTAAAATGGAATACTAGTGCAACAACAGTGTAGTGTGATCAAGCCCATAAACTGTACACATTTGAATATAAAAATGTGCAGATATTAGCAACTGCACATTTTACCCATAAAAAAACCAAACTCAAATTCTTGTGCATCTCTAGTTGCAGGACATTATAATGCTGTCAGAGAAAAGGGAGACCTAGAAACAGATAAATCCATTCTACTGACCTGAGCCGGTTGGCTGAGTTGAGAAATTGCTGGACTTCATTGTAAAACTGCACCAGTTCATCCACTGAAGCACCTTCACCAGGGAATTTAGGGGCAATGTGTGCATCCACACCTTCAAAATGGCTGAGAAACACACCCAGACAGCAAAGGAGAGTGACTACAGTAAGCCAGCGTTTATGCAGAGTGTTCATCTGTAAACCGAAAGGAAGGAAAGAGACAAGTGGGAAAAGCCATCCTCACTTTTATACCAACCCAATGAAACTTTCTACAGTGGTAGAACACATGTACCACTGTTAGCTCACCAAATTTCATAACCTTTGACGCATCCATGGGTTTTGGCGAATTTTCCAAGGTTTTATAAAAAAACATTTTTAATAATAAAGAAAATCTATTCCTGTTTGAAAATATTATTTCCTGTTACATTAGGTGGTCTTTACTTTGAAGGTAGTTGTTCTACTCCAGAAACTTTGTTAGACAAAGACTGCTACAGACAGCTATAGTATTTTTGGGTCCTTCAGCCATTTTGGCTAATGAGCAGCTGGGCAGTGTGGGAAATGTAGTTTTACAGCAGGGCCTATTGCAATCTCTACCATTGAGGGCCTGGCCTTCACAAACTACAACAATGGCTGTGCTTATCCACGCCCACCTCATCCCTCTTTGCATCACCCAGGGAGTGATAGCATGAGATTTTAAAACTTTTTCAGCTTTACCAAAGTTGTTTAATGGTTGTAAAAATTAAAATAACCTTGGAAGACATCTGAACATTATGGAATATTTCTGGAAAAAAGGGTAAATGGTTCAAATTTGGATTCCCCCCTCCCCTCCCCCCCCCCCCCCCCCCACCTTTCTTGCATGGTTCAAAACTGCTTCAGAAGCTCAAATTCCTATGTTTTCTTCCGATTTCAGGCTCTTCCGAATGTACCTATCCAACTCTAATATATACACTTTGGTCTAGCCTTAGAATCCTTCAATCAAAATTTTCCTCACACTGACCATTATGCACTATATAATTAACACAGTTTATGTCATGGAATCCTGGGACTTGTAGTTTGGTGAATACCGTTAGATCACACCAAAGCAGCACTCTTGGGCAAAGAAAGCTAAAGAGCTAGTAAAACAAGAATTCCCTTGATTCCTTAATGCTGAGTCATGTCAATTAAAGTTCTGTCAAACTGCATTAATTCTACAGTATAGATACCCCCCTCTTGAAAAGGAATAAGATTCTCTCTTATTATGCACTGAATTTTCTGCCAAGCTACTTTTCTGCTCATTAAAGACTCAAAGAAGCAGCAAAGATACATATCTTGTCCTATCTATAGGCTCATCGGCACTGTAATGAGCCAATGCATAAGGATTCAAAGAGGGCAAGGTTATCTGCACATGTCATGTTACATAACTTCCGAACGTAGTGATTCTGAATGGTTACTCTGTTACTGGGGAACAGACTCCACCTTGTCCTTTAATTTTAAAGGATCTATCCAAGGTGCTGAGCTATTTGGGAGAACAGGATCTAGAATCTTGGCCACCTCCTTGCCACAATTGTGACAACATAATGTTCCTGAAGCAGTTACAGATCCATAACTCAAGTCAGAAATTTCTAACTGAAATACATAACACCAGCCATGCCTTTTTCATTGCTGTTATTCCACAGCAATTTGGAGATGCAACTATAAGAAGATAGATTTCCCATGGAAATGGGGAGAAGAAAATGCAGTGCCCTGCTCTGGAAATACAGTCGTGCTAAAAAGAGTATTGTTAGAGCACATAAAACCTTACTGACTGCCTTCCTTTCTCCCCAAACCATGGAAGGTGATACTGCCTTGGATTTCCATGTCCACCACCAAAGATACCTCCCTAAAGAAAGAAACCGAGTTATTTTCTCCCTCCCAGCAATTGCATGCTCAGTTCTTTTTTTCTTTCTTTTTTTACCTTCAGACTCTTGGAAGATGGAGACAGGAAACGCACCGTAGGTATTCTTCAGGGCTTTGTCTCTATGCCTTCCTATGGAAGACTCTGCGGCATTTTTATACCTCTTTCTGCTGCTGCCTCCTCCTCTTCCCCCTTTGCTTCAACTTATGGTGGACACACTGATAAACCAACACAATCTCCAAGTTCACTTCCTCCCCTTGACAGCTCGACATTTCACTTTGAAAACATTAGGCTAGCAAGGACTGGTTTCCATTTGGGATGAGGTGCAGGTGGGAGTTAAATGTGAGTGATTAATGGCTTATTCGTTTGTTTTCTGTCATCCTCTCAAGACAAAATGGACAGGGGTCCTGTGACCAGCTTCCAGCTAAAACAAGCAACAAGTGTGTGGCATCCACTCAAGGACATATGACTGGAATCCTGTTGGTGACCACTCAGGCAATCTTTGAAGGTTGTTGAGACAGAAATATTCAGCACCAACCCTTTACTTTCAGTTGGTTAGGAACTCCATGATCATTGGGGGAGGGGGCGCTCTGGTTGAAGGTGGCCAGGCAGCATCTATCTGTATTTTTGCAGACATAATCAAAGAAGCAACCATTGTCCTGGGCCCCTAGAAGATTATTTTGTCTTTGAACATTTAACTGTAGCAATATAGCCAGGTCATAGAATCACAGAATCATAGAGTTGAAAGAGACCTCATGGGCCATCCTGTCCAACCCCCTGCCAAAAAGCAGGAAAATCGCGTTCAAAGCACCCCCAACAGATGGCCATCCAGCCTCTGTTTAAAAGCCTCCAAAGAAGGAGCCTCCACCACACTCCAGGGCAAAGAGTTCCACTTCTGAACAGCTCTCACAGTCAGGAAGTTCTTCTTAATGTTCAGGTGGAATTTCCTTTCTTGTAGTTTGAAGCCATTGTTCCACATCTTAGTCTCCAGGGCAGCAGAAAACAAGCTTGCTCCCTCCTCCCTATGACTTCCACTCACATATTTATATATGACCCTCATCATGTCTCCTCTCAGTCTTCTCTTCTGCAGGCTAAACAGGCCTAGCTCTTTAAGCTGCTCCTCATAGGGGTTGTTCTTCAGACCCTTGATCATTTTAGTTGTCCTCCTCTGAACTCATTCCAGCTTGTCAATATCTCTCTTCAATTGTGGTGCCCAGAATTGGACACAGTATTCCAGGTGTGGTTTAACCAAGGCAGAATAGAGGGGTAGCATGACTTCCCTGGATCTCGACACTACACTCTTATTTATGCAGGCCAAAACCCCATTGGCTTTTTTAGGTGCAGTGTCACATTGTTGGCTCATGTTTAACTTGTTATCCACAAGGACTCCAATATCTATTTCACATGTACTGTTCCCGAGCCACGCGTCCCTCCTTCTGTATCTTTGCATTTCATTTTTTTCTGCCTAAGTGGAGTATCTTGCATTTGTCACTGCTCAACTTCATTTTGTTAGTTTTGGCCCATCTCTCTAATCTGTTAAGATCGTTTTGAATTCTGCTTCTGTCTTCTTTTTTTATATCTATTGCCTCCTCCTCCTCTTCCCTCTTTGCCACTGTGCTGTAAGCTTACCCTTTGCAGCCACTGAATGAAGCTTTCCAATTTATGTGTAATGACATGTTTGTGTATCAGCTGCAATGTGTAAGTTTTGCATAATGAGAAACCTCAGGATCTATGGTTTTCATGAGATATGTTGTGACCCCATATATTTCTCTTTTACATTTTATGTATGTCTCCATATCTCTTAAAAGGGGTTTCTTTAACATCTGATTTGCTAGTAAAACTGAAGTATTGTGTTGTGAAATGAAGCATGTCTAAAAAGTGTGCCACCAGCACAAAATGGTAGCAAAGCTCTGCACTAAATTGACAAGAGGGAAGTCAGAGGGGGTATCAGTGGCCCATAAAGGGAGAGCTATCCAGTTTGGAACCATATAGAGTGACCCATCAGTTTAAATCTTGGCTTGATCCCCCATTTTGCCCTGGCTGAAAAGCTTCTTTTTAGAAACAAAATTTCATTTTTTTTTCTTCTTTATCCCTTGGTTTCAATTTCTCTTGACTTGTATTTCCAAGGAACAGTTTCCTAGTAATGTCCAGTTTAAATTTCCATTATGACCTTTCTCCTGCTTAGTCATAAAGGGACTGAACAAAGAACGATTGTTTCAACCTAAAGGAGAGAAGTTAATTGTTCACTACAGTGTGATACCACAGACCTACCAGAGCACTAAGCAAAAGGAAAAAGTTGAGAACAAGCTCCATTTTGTGTTCTCTGTCCTCGTATCCTGCTTCCTGCCTGGGGTAGTCAGCTAAAAAATAGGCAAACAAGGAATGAAATAAAGCTAGTTTTTTCTTCTTTTTAATGGGTCCCATGGGCCTAAAATTATCTTCTAGCTATACCATGGATGTCTTCAAATGTAATCCTATGGCTGGCATCTGATTAGTATCATATACAGGCTCAAATTATGCTATGTTATTGACTAAGTTTGTGGATAATGTACAAGCATTACATCCTGTTGCCAACAGCATAAATGGAGTTGCAGATGCTGAACCATTGTACATGGAATAGTGCACTAAAATACACGAAGCAGCCTGTATTGTCTCTCTGAGTTAGGCATAGCAATTGCAGAATAGTTGTCTTCTTAGCCATGTGTATTGACAATTGAGCCATATACAGTGTACTATGTAACTCCACTTGTGGATATTTACATTTCCCAGAAATAATGTTGGGATTTTGGCCTATGTACCTATTCAGAGGTAAGCTCGCTGGAGTCAATTAATTTTATTCCCAGAACAGTTTGTGTAGGACTGCAAACTTCAAGGGTCAATTGAAACATCAGAGTAAGTTTGAAGTTACAGGTTCAATTTAATCATAAGTAATTAGTGCCCTAGTAAGTAGAAGGTTTTGTTTTGTTTATTGCAGTATATAGAGAGAGAGGTTACTCTGAACTGGATTGGGATGAGAAACATGGAACTATTATTATACATCTCTGCCTCATTTTTGACAAAAGAGACTTAAATAAGGCTTGTGATTAAGCACACATCATAGACAGCTGTGTCTGTTAAAATGGGGTCATGCTGCATTAATTCTAAAGTGTTGCTACACCCCTGGTTTTTAATGAGGTTGTAGTTACAGTAGCTGCTGGCATCCAGCAGATGGCACTCCATCACTCCTTTCATTCTCAGGAACTTGCACATTATTCAATGATATTTTAGTTGATTCCTGAAAGAACCAGATTCTTGATATTATTATTATTATTATTATTATTATTATTATTATTATTATTATGTTTATTATTATGTTTATTATGCTTATTTACTTTTCTCTCCACAAGGAGGCTCAAAGTGGTTACTGTTTCTAGATCAGGAATCCAGAAACAATACCATTTTAATTTGAAATCTGCTTATCTACATTGATGTAACTGCCACACTTCCCTGTCCCAAAAATGTGTGTTTTAGCCCAGAAGAACAGGATTTCCATATTCTTCATTTGGCTGAGTATCACTTGAATTGTAAATGTGATACCTAGTTCCTGTTTGGACTATTGACTCACTTTCTCAACTTTCCTTTTTTTTTTTAGTAGGGGTATATCTTAAAAAAAAAAGTAGGGTTATATCTGGAGACCCCGGTGGCACAGTGGGTTAAAGCACTGAGCTGCTGAGCTTGTTGATCGAAAGGTCACAGGTTCGATTCTGGGGAGCAGGGTGAGCTTCCGCTGTCAGCCCTAGCTTCTGCCAACCTAGCAGTTTGAAAACATGCAAATGTGAGTAGATCAATAGGTACCACTCTGGCAGGAAGGTAACGGCGCTCCATGCAGTCATGCCGGCCACATGACCTTGGAGGTGTCTATGGACAACGCTGGCTCTTCGGCTTAGAAATGGAGATGAGCACCAACCCCCAGAGTCAGACATGACTGGACTTAATGTGAAGGGACTACCTTTACCTTACCTAGGGGTATATCTGGGGGTAAAATTAATGCAGTTTGACACAGCTTCATTTGCATTAGGTTAATGTGCTATGGAATCATGGGGGTTTGTCGTTTTACAAGGTCTTTAGCCTTCTCTGTCAAAGGATACTGCTGCCTCACCAAACTACCAGTCCCAGGATTCCATAGCATTGAGACAGAGCAGCTAAAAGTGATGTCAAACTGCTTTAATTCTATACAGTATATGAACCCTGAGTCTCTTCTCCTCTGCAGAGATGAGAAATTGCTTGTGCAATTTGATTTCAGGCCCCTTCTACACTGCCATATAATCCAGATTATCAAAGCAGATAATCCACATGAACTGCTTTGAATTGGATTCTGTGAGTCTAAAGTGCCATATAATCCAGTTCAAAGCCGATAATCTGGATTTTACATGGTAGTGTAGAAGGAGTCTCAGTTTACCAAAGGAAGTAAACTGAAGACAAAAGAGAAAAGGAGAAAGAGGAGTAGGAGAGAAGAACTTGAACATTTTAAAAGCAGCTGAAAAAGTGGGATGACAGAAAATTAATTGGGATAGTCTCTTCTCAATCGGGACAGATGGAAAGCATAGGAGGAGCTTTATCATTAAGTAATATGAGGCAGCCACCTCAGGACATAGACAATGAAGGTCAAAAGTGGCCGTCCTGTTGAGCCATATAACAGTATCTCTTTAAGAACATGACATTCTGACCCTGTACTCTTAAAATGTAATTAGCTTTGAACTATGGTTCAACTATGTATACTCATGTGTATATATAAAAATGATAAAACAATGTTCCTTAGGTCAACTTCTATATGTGACAGTGTAGGAATAGGGACCCAATACAAAGACCAGAGGACAAGAGGCAGAAGTGAGAAGTGCTCCCTATTAACCGTCCTTTACCCGAACCAAGGGGGGAAAGGCAGCCCTACTTCCTTTTGCAACTTCTTTTTTTATCCTGAGCAGCATTCACCAGCAACCTAGGGAAACCTGTAGAATTTAGTACACTTGCCATTTGGGGCATTTGAAGCAGAGTAGAAATGGAGTGGCCATTTTAAATAAGGACTTCTTGCATAAGCTTCTCTGCAGAAAGGCTGCAGGAGTCATTTTTAATAGGGGCTTAAAGTACTTCTAATACTGTATGTATTTTTATCCAAAATGTTCCCTGAAGTAGTTGTGTTTGTGCAATTTCTGAGAAACTAAGGTCTGAGAAACTGTGGAATCTGAACACCAAGACTTATTAAATACTTATTAGTCTGACAAATGCTAATTAGGTCCCTTTGTGTAAAAATCTAAACCAACCAAATTTCTCTAGTATCATTTTTTCCACTTCAGAAAGAGAAATGTCTTGAGAGAATTTTCTATTATCAGGCATCATTCTCTTGCTAGTATAAAAAAGGTGAATTTACGCAGCTAGGAAAATCTAGCTGGCGGTTAACCCATGACTAGTACAGTGGATTAACTGCCAGCTAATGTAAAACTTGCCGACTGGAAGATTGACAGTTTAAGCCACAGGTTGGGATAGCTCCCACGATCAGGCCTAGCTTCTGTTTACCTAGCAGTTCAAAAGTAGCAATGTGAGTAGATAAATAGGTACGGTTTTGGTGGGGAGCTAAAAGGCACCCTTGAAAAACATACCAGCAAAAATTTGATCAGGAAGGCATCCAATGACAATTGAAATAACAGCACCACCCTATGGCCAAGTCAAGCACAGCCTCCAGATGCCAGAGATGGAAAAAAGTAGGAAGCCTTGTCCCTTACTGTCTGTCTTTGTTGTTAATTGTATATCGGCACTGAATGTTTGCCATGTATGTTTCTGTAATCCTCTCTGAGTTCCCTCAGGGCGATAGAGCAGAATATAAATAAAGTATATTATTATTATTATTGTTTGTCAAGAGTTAGGAACTAAAATAGTTTCCCAATAAAGTGATAAGAAAAGTGTGTGGTTAGCTTATGCCAATGAATGTTGAGATGACACATATTTATGGTTTTTAATACTTAATGGGGTATGGAGAAATAAAAGGGATGTTCACGTCAGGTATTGGATAGGTTCAAGTTCCAATTTGTTTTGCTGCATTGAAAACTGGAGAGAGATCCTAGATGCATAGAAGGTGTTGCTTGGCGGTAGTAGGGAACTGCATTAGATGGAGTTCATGAAAGTTGCTTCTATATTGATACTTTTGTGGTCTGTTTAAGTTGCTGTCTACTCTAGCTTTGATATCCCAAGAATATCCTCCCCCCCCCCCCGTTTAAGAAATTGAAAACATGTCCCTTTCTTTTCTCCAGATTTGAATGTTTAAACTCCAATTTCTTCAGCCAAAAGAAAGAATGGTGCAAGAGAAATTCATCCCAATTTGTATCAACCAATTTCAGTAGGGACAAATATGGAGAAAGGTGTGTTGTCTTTGCTTATAATATAGCTGTTTTTAAAAGATGGCAATGCAAACTTAGTACTAACGCAGTACAACACATAGAAAACTTCAAACTCAGACCTTTCAAGGGCTTTTGCAGGCCTTTCAAAGCATGCTGCCTCATTCTTGTCAGTTTCATTTTCTTCTACAGTCCAATTTTTTATGTCTTGATATTTCATTCTGAATTTTTCAAATATTTGTAAAATCTGATCACAATTTTCTTCATGGAATGAGGGCATTTCAATGAACCCAAATAAACTTTTTCACCCACTTGTAGTTTAGATACTGCATATACTTGAATATAAGCCAATCCATATACTCGAATATAAGCCAATATAAGCACCTAATTTTACCATAAAAAACTGGGAAAATATATTGACTAGAATATAAGACGAGAGTGGGAAATGCAGCAGCTATTGGTACATTTCAAAATAAAAATTACATTAATTGAGGCATCATTGGGTTAAATGTTTTTGAATATTTACATAAAACTGTAATTTAAGATAAGACTGTCCAACTCTGAGTAAACCATTATTCCAAACTTCAATGTAAATATGCTTACATATCCTTCCAATAATAATAAAGAGAGTAAAATAATAAATGCAATAAAATAATAGAGTAAAATAATGGAAATGTAATAACAGTAATAATAGAGTAAAATAATAAATGCAATAATAATAGACTCCCTCTATGGAGGTAGAGGAGATCAGGATATAGAAGTTTTAAATCATAAATAAATAAATAAATGTAATAATAACAATAATAAATAGAGTAAAATAATAAATATAATAATAGACTAAAGTAATAAATGCAATAATAATAATGAACAGAGTAAAATAATAAATGTAATAAAAATAATAATAGAGTAAAATAATGTAAATGTAATAATAATAATTAGAGTAAAATAATAAATGTAATAATAATAATAAAGAAGATAATAATAATAATAATAATAATAATAATAATAATAATAATAATAATAATAACAGAGTAAAATAATGAATAACTTTGACTCGAGCATAAGCCAAGGGGGCTTTTGCAGCTTAAAAAAGGGTTGAAAAGCTCGGCTTATACTCAAGTATATATGGTAGCTTAAAAAGAGGACAGATAGTCATCATTTTCTCCATTAAACTTGCTGTTTTATTGTGAACATAGAAGAAATCCATCCAAAATACATACATTTACAAACATACATTCATACTTGCACACACAGACACGCACATTATGTATAAAATAAGATAGACCCAAAGTGGACATGAGTGGGATTTTGCACCAGTGAGTAAACATAGATGTCACAACAAATACAACCTAGGTCACCACCAAAGATAACAGACACCCCACCTTGTCCCCTGTGGCACTTTTTTTTTTGCAGAACCCCCTACTAGTGTATAGGAAGAAAGGTACACGACTCCATTGTAATGCTGTTATTAAACAAAGAAAAAGCCCCAAAGAGAACATTTAGGTGGGGAGAGGACAGGCCCTCTTTCACAAAAGGTTTCAAATTGTTTTTAGAAAATGCAGAAGAACACAACAAGATTGGAATGTGTAAAAAGAGGCAGCTGATGGACCTCCGACTCTTCAGTGGGTAGGTTGTCACCACATGTAGGAATCATCATACCTATAAGGGGAAAAAAGGGAGATCATGCCATTAGAGAGGTGAAGGAAGGAGCAAAAGGGTCATCTGCTCCCAAATCTAAGTCTATTGATATTAGTTCTTTGGAAGGCAAGTCCTCACATCTGTCCACTGACATGCGCACTGGAAGAGTCTGGGAGCTACAGCTATAAAAAAAATACTTTTCCATGCTCTGTTCCAGAATCCAGAACACTGACATGTCAACAAGGTGGTTTTGTTAAGAGGCCAATCGTTTCCATATACCTTTTGGCAGGGCAATCCTACTCTTTGTTGTGTACAAACAGGAAACAAAAATGAGACAATTGAAGAAATAAGCAATTAGCCAGCTAGCACATGAAGCTTGTCTTAATTTTGTTTGACTTTTCAGTGCTCTCTCTAAACTTCTGCAGGACTCCAACTTCTCAGCTGCAAGAACACCCAAAGCCTTGTCACACTTATTCTAACAAGATAGATGGAAGAAAATAGGATTTCTGTGTGGTTCTTGATTCTCCCCCATCTGTCACAGATGTATCACTATTTTCATAGAGTTGGAAGAGACCTCATGGGCCATCCAGTTCAACCTCCGGCCAAGAAGCATTCAAAGCACTCCCAATAGATGGCCATTCAGCCTCTGTTTAAAAGCTTCCACTACACTCTGGGGCAGAGAGTTCCACTGCTGAACAGCTCTTGCAATTAGGAAGTTCTTCCTAGTGTTCAGTGGAATCTCCTTTCCTGTAGTTTGAAACCATTGTCCCATGTCCTCGTCTCCAGGGCAGCAGAAAATAAGCCTGCTCCCTCCTCCCTGTGACTTCCGCTCACATATTTATATATGGCCATCATTATATCTCCTCTCAGCCTTCTCTTCTGGAAGCTAAACATGCCCAGCTCTTTAAGCACCGGTTTTGGTCCACAACTTTCTAATGTGGATTGAAGACATTCTAGTAAAAAAAGGTAATATTTCCCAGTTCTGTTAATTTTCCCAGAATCAAAACTGGTTGCATAAGAAAGATAATTTCTGCAGGAATTGATTGTTATCTGATGCATGACAAGCAATAGCTGCCAAAATCCCCTCTTCTACACAGCCATTAAAGATACAGGAGCCCTCTCCAATTTCACCCTGGCAAGCCTTTCTTAACAGGGGAAAGCACAATGTGTTCCTGACCATGTGCAGAATTTCTTCTCCTTTCTGGGTAGGAATGGTTCTGAGGAAGAACACGCTGTTGGCTGAAAATATGTGACTTCTGGAGAGGCACTTTGTTCTTTGCCAAAACAACATCAGACAAATTGGACTTACCGTGATCTGCCATTATGGTCACTGCTGGTGCTGCTGTCTCCAAAAATAAGCTCTGACATCAAGGACTCTGGGCTGGATCTCTTGCCATACCTTGGGAAAGAAGGAAGGATGAATAATCGAGTCTGTCATTTATCCCATTGGAGAGACGAAGTAGTTCCCCATATTTTTGTTTCTCCCACCACCCCAACAAACCCTGATTTCAGAAGCCAGAAACTATGTATCACCAGGTTTTCATAAAGATATCTTAATGCTGAAACACATATAAGTAAGAATTAAAAAACACAATGCCTCCACCTCTGTGCTTTTGTGAATTCACTGCCTAACTACTCACCCATTTTTCACACATGTGATATTAATGGCAAAGAGTGTCAGGGGTCCACAATGGTATAGAAAGTGCTTTTTGGATTACAACTCCCCAAATCCCATACTGGCTGGTGCATTGTGGAATCTGTAGTCTGAAATGTCATTTTTCCTGAGGTCAGATAGTCATTTATATAGTAATGTTTAGCATATTCATGTTATTTCTGCCTTTCATTCTCAAGTCCAAGAATACAGAGCATGGGTGGAATTTCACAAGTGAAAAGTTGCACTATTGGTTTTTGCAAGAATAGAGATGACATGGGCTTTCCATAATCTAATAAAAGTGTGTTCAGAGTTTTTCCATGCTCACAACTTAGTGAGGAGTTCAAGAAAATGATGAGGTGACACAAAAAAAATCAACCTAGAGAAGTGAGTCCTTGCTAATGGCCTCGTTGGTTTGGTTTTCCAATTAGGTTTCTAGGAGACGAGAGCTAATGGGCTGTTCCAAGCAGCCCACACTAATGGAGAAAGTAGTTAATCAGGTGTTTTACAGCTGGGTACTTCATTTGCTCTCTTAGATGCTGCAGTATTGAGCAATATTTGCAAGACAATTTGTACACTCATGTGCACAGCCCACGACTGTACTCAAGAAGATTATGGAAATTTCAGGGAGCTTTCCTTTACAGTCATTTGTGTGTGTGTGTGTCAGGGGTGACTTGAGAAACTTCTGGGGTGAGGGAATTTGCCATCTGCAAAGTTGTTGCCCAGGAGACACCTGGATGTTTTGATGTTTTACCATCCTTGTGGGAGGCTTCTCTCATGCCCCATGCATGGGGAGCTGGAGCTGACAGAGGGAGCTCATCCAATCTCTCCCTGGATTCAAACCTGCAACCTGTCAGTGTTCAGAGATTCCTAGTGCTTTCCTTTCAATATCATGAAGGAGGACAGATAGATATGGAAATTGGTGACAGATAGACATGGAAATTTGTGATCTCCATATCAATGAAGCAGGAAAACTGCTCTGGGGTTTTCACTGGACCTTAAATTAGCTCTCCAAGGTGCTAAATCATCTCCTTAAAGTAGGTTTAATACCTTGGACAGTTGTTTAATTGTTGAAGGCTAAAACTCAATTTAGATTCAGCAGCCCACTAGATGCCACCAGTTGAATTGGTCAAACATGTACCAACCCTCACTGTTGGTCTTCCTTGCCCAGTTGTTACTACTGTTGATGGCTCTAGCTGTAGCACATCAATAAGGGATGTTTGCAGTGGGTACTTGAGATGAATGAAGATTCTTTTTCATCCTCTAGAGCAGTGGTTCTCAACCTGCGGTTCTCCAGGTATTTTGGCCTACAACTCCCAGAAATCCCAGCCAGTTTACCAGCTGTTAAGATTTCTGGGAGTTGAAGGCCAAAACATCTGGGGACCCATGGGTTGAGAACCACTGCTCTAGATCCCTTTGCACAAAGTAAGACATTTTCTTCTGTCCTCACCAATATTCAGCAAACATCTACATGTGTGTTCATATGCCAAGTGTAGTGACATTTTTTCTTGTGTTTGAAAGGAAAATAAGGTGTTGCCTCTACAAGCCAGTTCAAAATATTTTGCTATAAGAAGCAAAAGAAAAAAGAAATTCTTCTCACGTTCCTATGCCAATTACAGAATTCGACCTTGAGAAAATTTCTTTCTTCAACTACAACAAGGGAGTTTTGGTCCAAAACAAGGAAAATGTTTCTGTGCTCTGTACAGAAGCCAGCTGGACTGGCTAGGAAACATTACTTCAACACTACTAGTAATAGGACAGTGATAGGACAGCAGTACTACCCTAAGTGGTCAGTAAGCTAGCTTAGGGCAAGCAGGACAAGTCTTCTGGAAGACAGTGTTCTCTACATCACATAGTATCTGTCTTCTGAAGCCACTCCCTCATTGTGAACATAGGTAGGACCAGTCCTAAACAAAAATCTAGATGTATATGTGAAAGCATGACTCATTAGAAAAAGGCAATAATGTTTGGTAAGATGTAAGGCAGTAGAAAAAGAGGATAACTCGACTGCAGAAGGATAGATGCAGTCAAGGGAACTGTGGTCCCGAGTTTGCAAGATTTGAGCAGGGTTGTTGATAATAGGGTGGCTTGGAGGTCTCTCATTCATAAAGTTGCCCTAAGTCAAAGTCAGCTTGATGGCAATTAATAATCTTAAACACAATAATGAATTACCAAAACCCACATGCAACCCATCCCACTCCACACACACCTCTGCCTTGTCACCAAGTTGATGTAATGCCGAAGAGCCGAGAAGTATTTGGCCATTTCTTCAGGGGAGGCATCTTCTCCAGGGCTCTCTGGTTTTGGAGGGTAGGCATCCACCAAGGTTCCCAGGCAGAACAAGACACACAGTGTCACGGCCATCAGGAGAGGCCAGGGCTTCACAGACATGACCATCTGGGAGAGAAAACAAGGAAGATGAGTAGATTAATAGCCAGGAGAACATCCAAAGCTGTCTCCACTGCCCAACTAGTTTAGGATTGGAACGGCAGAAGTCAGAAAAGCTACTTTCTTTGGGCTACAACTCCAAGAATCCTTCAACCTAGTCCAGTGGTTCTCAACCTGTGAGTCCCTAGATATTTTGGCCTTCAACACCCAGAAATCCTAACAGCTGGTAAAGTGGCTGGAATTTCTGGGAGTAGTAGGCCAAAACACCTGGGGACCCACAGGTTGAGAACCACTGACCTATTCCAAAAAGTAATCTTTTCAAGCATTGCACAAAAAGTTTTGGAAATATGTCGAAAAAGCCAATTTACAGTTCACAGTCACAACATAATCATCAATCTCCCAAAAGTACCAAAAACATGAGCCTAACAGCTTATGAGAACTTGATCCTGAAACATGCACAGTGATATCTAAGCATCTATAAGACATCTTTCTTTGTATTGTCGAAGGCTTTCATGGCTGGAATCACTGGTTTGTAGGGCTGTATGCCCATGTTTTAGAAGCATTCTTTCCTGATGTTTTGTCTGCATCCTCAGAGGTTGTGAGGTCTGTAAGACATCTTTCTTTCATGGAAAACTGCCTATGATAACAGAAATTCTGTGCATTTGAACACTAAAATGCACCAACTTTGCCAAAAATGGAATTTGAACTTTAAAACAATTAAGAGTATGGAGTTTTTGTGGAATTCTCACATTCCATTTTGGAGCTCCTCTCTCCAAAGGTACCAGATTCCAACTGAACTTGTATGCTAAGCAGGGTCAGCTCTGCTAACTACTGAATAGAAGACTACTGTCAAATACCAGATTCTGTAGGCTAAATTCAGAGGAAGAAACTGACCGACCACCTTTGAATTTAGCTTATCCGAAGGCCCTTCCACACAGCCCTGTATTCCAGAATATCAAGGCAGAAAATCCCACATTATTTGAGTGTGGACTCAGATAACCCAGTTCAAAGCAGATATTGTGGGATTTTCTGCCTTGATATTCTGGAATATGGGGCTGTGTGGAAGGGCCCTAAGACAGTTCTATGAAACCATGGGGTCACCAGAAGTCAACAGGCAACTGTAGGCACATACACCCTCCCTCACACCCCAGGAAAGAGTAAAAGGTACTGTAAAATAGGAGACTGCAAAGAGTTCAGCCAGAGGCAGGAAACTTCTAACCAACATTGCAAATCAGCTCTCTTTACTCTCTTTTTTCTACACAAACATGGTACTACCCCACAATGAACAAAGCTCCTGCTATCTTGTTTTGTGGAACTAAGTGTTACATCTTTTTGTCTCTCACTACCTCTCCCTGCCACTTTTTCTTTTCTCTGAAAAGAAGCATTGAGGAGCAGAATAAAAGAGTTCGCCTGTTGTGATTGTTTTCCTGCAGTCCCATCCCAGCAGCATCAGCTACTCACCATGAAAAGGAGGTAGAAAGAAGCAGAGACAGAGCTGAATGTCAAGAGATGCTATAGGACTCAGCCAGCCAGCTTTCACTGATCTTCAAGTCGTCTCTTGCTGCTGATGCTTCTGTTAGTGGCTCTGACAACCCAGGGCTTATATCCTTGGCAGGTGGGTGAATTAAGGAGGGGGAGGCTCCTCCTCCATTCCCCCCCCCCCCAATCATTCATTCACTCACTCTTCCATCATTTGCTGATCAATCCAATTCTGTATCAGACACCTTGATTACCTCCCAAAAGGACGCCACTCTGCTCATGCTCAGGGAAGGGAGGGGGAAGTGACGGGGGAACTAAATGAATCCTTGCAGAGGGAGAAGAGATGGGAGACAGCATTCAGAGATATAAAAAGGACTGATGTTCTTTCTTGAAGGCTGAAACAAGTTTCAATTGCCATTTGTGGGTCAGGAATGGACAGAGATTGATAGGATTCATAAACTGTTGTGTTGAGAGTGACATTTCTGTCTAAGACATTAGAGTCAACCAAAGAAATCGATGGAAAATTAAGATAGCCAAGGGTGTAGAATTAAGCAATTTGACACTATTTTAATGGATCAGTGCTATGGAATCATGGGAATTGTGGTTTTTACAAGGCATTTAGCCATCTCTGCCAAAGAGTGCTGCTACCCCACCAAGCTTCAAATTCTAGGCTTCCACACACTTGATCCCTGGCAGTTAAAAGTGGTGTTAAACTGTATTGTCAAAGGCTTTCATGGCCTGAATCACTGGGTTGTTGTAGGTTTTTTCAGGCTATATTCTAGAGGCATTCTCTTCTGACATTTCACCTGCATCTACGGTAAGCATCCTCAGAGGTAGTGAGGTCTGTTGGAACTAGGAAAATGGTTTATAATATCTGTGGAAAGACAAAGAACTCTTGTCTGCTGGAGCTAGGTGTGAATGTTTCAACTGACCACCTTGATTAGCATTTGATGGCCTGGCAGTACCTGGAGCAATCTTTTGTTGAGAGGTGATTAGATGTCCCTGATTGTTTTTCCTCTGCTGTTTTGCTGTTTTAATTTTAGAGTTTTTTAATACTGGTAGCCAGATTTTGTTCATTTTCATGGTTTCCTCCTTTCTGTTGAAATTGTCCACATGTTTGTGGATTTCAATGGCTTCTCTGTGTAGTCTGACATGGTGGTTGTGAAAGTGGTCCAGCATTTCTGTGTTCTCAAATCATATGCTGTGTCCAGGTTGGTTCATCAGGTACTTCACTATGGCTGACTTCTCTGGCTGAAGTAGCCTGCAGTGCCTTGATTCGTGTTTGGGCAATGCTGTGTTTGGTGGTCCCTATGTAGACTTGCCCACAGTTGCATGGTATACGGTAGACTCCTGAAGAAGTGAGAGGATCCCTCTTGTCCTTTGCTGAATGTAGCATTTGTTGGATTTTCTTGGTGGGTCTGTAGATAGTTTGTATGTTGTGTTTCCTCATCAGCTTCCCTATGCAGTCAGTGGTTCCCTTGATGTATGGCAAGAACACTTTTCCTCTGGGTGGATCTTTGTTTTGACTCTCGAGGCTTGTTCTCGTTCTTGCAGCTTTTCTGATGTCTGAGGTGGAGTATCCATTGGCCTGTGTTAAACTGCATTCATTATAAAGTGTAGATGCACCCCAAGAAGATTTAGAAAAGAGGCTTTGGTCACTGGCAACTGTTGCCTTTCATGCCAGTGGGGAATCAAATCCATTCCAGGTTTTGGTGTGAACTTTAGCCAAAGTGCTGGACGTAATTCCTCCCCTAGGTTCAGCATTTTGGATACCTCCTTTAAAATCTGGACTGAAACCAAAGATGGATCAATAGAAGCCATCAGCCACCTGGGTTTAGTAATACAAAAGGCACTCTGGTTGTCTTCTCTCGGGGACCATCTACACCACCATATAACAGCCAGATTATCTTATTTGAACTGGATTATATATCAGTGTAGACTCAGATAATCCAGTTCGAAACAGATAATGTTGACTATCTGCTTTGATAATCTGAGGGCTATCCTGACAGTTCCAGGTGTGGGAATATCGTGTTTTTGAGCCGAATATGCAGATCTTCGCATGTCTCTAGGTCCCTACAATCAGAAATCACAGCATTTTGTATCTGGGTTTGTTCCCGGGTTTTAATTGTTTGTTTCTGATTGGTCAGTTCCTAAAAAGAACACTTGAGTAGAAGGCAAACACTTTTTTCTGTGGCAGAAACTTCATGAAACTTGTGGAGGGCCTTGTGTCCCCCGAGTCATTGTACATCTTTTCACAAGAAGAGCAATCAGGAACAGCCATGTATAACCCAAGAACAGCACCCTGTTGCTTGATGCCACAAGTACACAACCAAATCTGTCTGGACAGATGACCAGGCAGCCAGGCTCTAAAAACTGTCAATAATGACAAAGTTCTGTTCCTGACTTGAAAATGTGTGCTCCTGTTTGATTGTGCATTGCTAACTGAGCAGAAGTGGTCTTACTCCGTAAACTCTGTTTGTGTGGCAGATACTTCATGAATCATCTGGGGGGCACATTTTCTGTGGCCAGGACAAAGAAATGAACTTTTGCAGTGATGTGCTGAAGGGATTATCCACATACCCTCAATTGAGTTTTTTTAAAAAAGCCAAAGTTTCTGGTGGAAGTCCTGCAGTGGTCATCTTAGGAACCTCTAATTCTCGCAACAAAGCATCAAATCTGGACAACAGAGGCAGAAATCCTGGGATCAACAGGTCTGTGTGTGGACCTCTTCTGAAGTTCTATGGCTTTTTGCCTCTGTTTTAAACCCATGATTTAGTGCTGTCTGGAAGCGCCCTGGGTCATGTGGAAGTGTAGAAGGGGCTTCCATCTTCAGGGCTTCACAAGACAAACCATAAGTTTCTCTCTGTAATCTACCTAAAATAATTTCAAAAGAATCTTCCTCGTCAATTTTAAAAGCATCCAGAATTTCTAAGTTCAGTGTACACTGTTAGTAGATATGGCAAGTTTGCATTAAAATTATGAATTCTTTTTTATCATTCCTTAAAAAATACATTTTCTAATCTCATTTGTATATCTTTAGTATTTATTTCCATCTATTTATCTATTTATAATACAGATGAATGGAATGCAAATGAAAAGAATTGAATAACGATGTTGTTAATGGCTGCAAGGCTACTAATAGCAAAAAAAAACTGGAAGGGAGAGGTGGAAATTAAGATAGAAGAATGGTACAAGGAAATTTGGAAATTAGCAATAAATGATAAATTAACATATAATGTAAAGGTTTTAAAAAGGTCTAAGGAAGAATAATGATTTTGAAAGTATGCAGAAAAAATTGTTGAAGAAACATTAAAGAAAGAAGATGGGAGCCAACCCCCAACAGAAGAAATGAGATTCTGGTGGGATCACAAAGAAAAGAAAGACTGAGGAGATGGGAAGTACAGTGGGTAGCACAATGGGGGAAAGGAGAAGAAATGTATATGAATGGTAGAGACAGGTTTTTTGTGTGTAATGAAATTAATGGAAATGTAATAAAAACTACTGAAAAAATTAGGTATTCTAAATACGAGGGCTGAATGAAAAGTAATACCTTCATAATTCCTCAACAGATTAAAGTACTGGTATGCGAAATGTACTGGCTTGTTCAGTAGACTCTCCTCTACAGTTCCATTTGGCTGGAAGCCTTAGCATTGAATGGTTGTGTTGTTAAAGTGCGAAGTATGGAACCCTGAGCAGACAGTCAGTCAATGCGACTTAAGCAATGTGCAGTCATTGAATTTTTGAGAGCAGAAGGTGTCACGCCAAAGAAGATTCATCAGAGAATGCAAGCTGTTTATGGTGATTGTGTTGATGTGAGTACTGTGCATCGTTGAGTGAGTAAGTTTAAAGATGTTGAGATGGGAACATCTGATTTGCATGAGAAACAAAGAGTTGGATGTCCTGAGACAGCAACCACCGAGTTTCATGAGCAAAAGGTTGACAGATTGATTCAGGACGATCGTCGTATCACTCAGAGAGAAATTTCAAGCAAGTTAAAGAGCACATTCTAAGGATTATTTCTGCGTTTGATTTATTAAAATATTCCCATTCAAACCCAAGTAACGAAGGTGGAGGCATTACTTTTCATTTAACCCTCATAATATTCATATAGAAAATGGGGTTTCTTTTAGTGACCATTTAAACAAATACAGAAAGCCATTTGGAATAACAAAACCTGAGCATTACAATTTGGAATTAAGTATTTATAGCAAGGGATGTTTAAGCATCCAAAGCTCGCAGTCTGGTAGACAAATCTATAAAAAGTTCTACGAACAAATATACAACTTTGTGTTTGTGCACTTTGAATGGTTGGCATCAATGACAACACAGTGGCCCCCTTCCCCTTCTCCTAATTAAAAGGAAAGACGATTTGTTAATTAATCATTGCTTTGCTGTCTAGTCACTCATTAAAACACTCATTGCATCAGAGAAATTTCTCTTCACTTAATCAATAGTCATCCACGTCCCAGTTTTATAGATGGATTAGTTGTCCACTTGCTCATTTGTTTCATCTTAAAACACGACCATTTGGGTGGCTAATAATTTAAGTTTTCATGTTGAGGGAGTTGTAGGTTCAAACACTATAATCCTGGGGTCCTGTAAGAGCTTGCCCAAAACGAGCCCCATAGGAGCTAAGAAAGAATTTGACTCATTGATCTTTCCCCCCTCTATGCTTGATTCCTTCTCATTAACTCAATCAGTATGCTGGTGACACCTAACTCTCCCTCTCTTTCCCTTTTCACTTCAATCCATGGAAACAATTTTGGTTGAAAACTGGGTGCTTGCCACAAGTTATAGATTAGATGAGGACTTAATTCAGGAAAGACAAGGGTGTAGATCGGAAAATAGAGACTTTCTCAACCTGGGGGTCGGGACCCCTGGGGGGTCGCGAGGGGGTGTCAGAGGGATCGCCAAAGAGTATCAGAAAACACAGTATTTTCTGTTGGTCCTGGGGGTTCTGTGTGGGAAGTTTGGTCCAATTCTATCGTTGGTGAGGTTCAGAATGCCTTTCGGTTGTAGGGGAACTATAAATCGCAGCAACTCCAACTCCCAATGTCAAGATCTATTTTCCCCAAACTCCATCAGTGTTCACATTTGGGCATATTGGGTATTCATGCCAAGTTTGGTCCAGATCTATCATTGGTTGAGTC